TGTTTTTTCTTTCTTGGCTCACAGGTTGTCCGGTTGAAGAGCTCCCTCCTGAGGCCCCCTGCTGCCTGATAACAAGCTCCGCCCACCAGAGTGGAGCTCCATGAGAGTGTGCTGGTAGCAGCTCTCCTGAGTGTCGGCACCATGCTGTGGACGCTGCTGCTGGCGCTGCTGCTGCTGCTGCTGCTGCAGACTCAGCTGTCTGTGTGCTTCAGGGAATTACGCACCGGGGGTTCCACTTCCCCCGGCTACTCCCCTTCATCATCCTCTTCCTCCTCCTCTTACAATGCCACCCGGCAGCGGCTGCCCGGAGCCATTATTATTGGCGTGCGAAAAGGCGGCACCAGAGCCCTGCTGGAGATGCTCAACCTGCACCCAGATGTGGAAGTGGCCAAGGCCGAGGTAAGGAGGAGCACTGGAGTACATTTACTCAGGTTGTACTCGAGTATAACTGTGAGGACCTGGTGCTGCTGCTGTGTCTCCCAGACACGTCAGAGTGAAAGATCTGGTTTAGACTTTACATTAAAAAAAATAATCGTCATCTGCGTTATATTATAATTGATATCAAATAATAAACTCTTTCTAAGGGTCTACCATTTCCAGTGCTTTCAGCATCTCACAGTATTTCACTTCAGCAGCTGTTTATCGTCCAGAACTTCTCAAAAACGGGTTAAAGTTTCAACATTCTTCCTCTTTTTTAGCTAATTAATAAAAGCATCCCAAAATATCCCAAAACTGTTTCTTTCATGCTTCCAGCTCAAAATACTACAAAGATTTCACTACAACAGTACGAAGCTGAGGCCCAGCCTCGTCCTGAACAGTAGATGCGGCGCTGCTGCTCCAGCGCTACGACTGCATGACACCAGGACTTCATGTCACCTGGAGCTTTCTCTCTGAGGGACTAGTTAACATGGAAACAGTGACAGCAGTTGTTTTTACCTCATGTGTGTTGAGTTTGTCCGACAATGCCGCGGTTATAACATCAGCACGTAACAGCTTGGAAATGAGGTGAACATGTAGCACTAGCAGGCCACGAATTCATCCTGGTTCTGTTCTCTGACCACAGAAACAGAACCAGATGCCAGTGAGAACAGTCTTATTGGGAGTTCAGCTGAATTACAATTCAGCTGATGTGAGCACAGAGAGCAGGAGAGAAGCCAGCAGGTGTAAACGTTGAGTGGAGGTTGCACTGAAGCACAACAAGCAACATGAGAACAAAGCCACACAGTCAGTCTTATGGTTTCCACCACCTCTGGAGGTCCCTCAGCAGAACCCTGAACCGTGACCAGATGATCACAGCTCATAGAAACATTAGCCACATTAGCCAATCAGCGTGTAGCACCAAGCTCTGTGCTGCCAATTACATCCAAAACAAAAGCTACATCTTCAGTTAATCAGATGCTGACAGTGCATGAAGACTCCTGTGTTCACTCCTGCAGCCAACAGCAGAGCATTTGCTGTGACTTGCTCACGGAGGCGAAGCAGCTCATTGAAATAAATAAACCTGTTGGACCTTGAGGCAGCAGCTCTCTCTAAATGGCTCACCTGGAAGCAGGGGAGGCCCAGGATCATGGTCCAGGTCCAGGATTATGGTCCAGGTCCAGGATCATGGTCCAGGTCCAGGATTATGATCCATCTAGAACAGAGGAAGTAAACGTATGTATATATGAACAACTTTTACTTCCAAGTTCATGAGAACCACAAAACACAATAAAATGTGTTGTTACTCTGTGGGACCTGGAACCCGTTTAGCCCGTTTAGCTCTGCAGCCCGCTATGTTCATTTAGATTGTCTATCAGCGGGAAACCCCGCATGTGAACGAGAGATTCAGCCATGAAATAAGTCATGCAAATAATAATAATAATAATGATATAATAATAATGATAATAATGATA